AGATTATACAATCGTGAAATGCGGCGACTTGCAAATGTCAGAAGTTGGTGTGAAAATTAGCTCCGTAAAAAAGATTCATAATTCTTGAAAGTTAATTTCATAGTCAATTATTGGTTAAAAAAAAATTCTCAGACTGTCATTTGGACAAACACATCCAGCAATCACTGGAAGTATGTTTTGTGCCGTTGCCAGCGTCTTACCTCCGCACTAGGTACTGAGAGATGTAAAGACTTCTTAGTTTAACATACTAAAAAATCAAGCTTTCGAAAGCTCTTGCACATTTTTGTCACGAGCTCTCCGTCAATAATGAATTTGAAGATTATCTGTGCATCGTAGACAGTGTCAGGTCCTACCTTTGTTGCATCACAAATTATTGAAAATACACGTTTCTTTGGAGCCGTTTTGCATTTCGAAAATAGACGAAATTTCGTTTTCGAAGAAATAGAAGGCCTTGACAACAAATGTCATCTTTCCTCGACAACAATCCACAAATTCGCCTTCAAAGGCGAAGGTGTCATTTGTTGATTCATACTAGTAGGAACTACCATCGTAAGCACGGATATAGGTATTATCGTAATATAACCCGTTTGTTTATTGGTGAGGTATTAAAAATAAGCAATTTCAAAGCGGAGTACCTCATCTGTTAATTTCGCTTTCAAATTGCCAGTAAATCATTTCTCGTATTCTGATGTTTCCACAATTTTTCTTATAGAGAAATATTTTGTAAATTTAACCAAAGTTGATTCTAATCGGTTCGCTCTGACATTTTTTAAATTTCAATAGGAGTGAATGAAGTTCCATGAATTAATAAAATACTAAGGTATTTTGTATGTGCATATATGAATAATAAAAGTAAAGGATTTAAGTCCTAGGCTTGATCTGAAACTATTTCACACATTTTAAGGCCGGTAATTTTTAACTGACGTCAAAATCCAAAAGCATCCAATGTTCGACGGCAATCTAGTTTTTTATGGTTGTTCACATCGGTGATTATCGATTTTAGCCAATTGTTGACCGATTTATTCGACAGCTTAATGGACCGAGGTGTCGAATTGAATCAGTAGTTTTCCTTGTATAAAAAAAATATGCCATCACCAGAATATTTAGTTGAAATTGTAAGACATGGATGGCCCTTTTCAATTAGAAAAATAAAAATATTGCATGTTCAGGTAGTATGAATATTTTTTATGAAAGTAGGTATGTTAATCAATTTCTTTTTAATTTGTGAGCCAATTTCTATTAAACAAACCATTAGAAAAAATATTTTTTTTGTCCCATCTTATGTTTATTGTCATTTACTGAGATTGATGAATTATCAAGAGCGATGCAAAATAATATTCATTAGTAAAAATCTTGTTGTGAAGTAACATCGTGGGCGTATAATGCATGAATGATGCAAAATTTCCAAGGCCATGTTAGAGCTACAGGAAAACAAAATCACTATTGGATATAATTTTAATATTTGATGTTAGTTTAAAAAAAAATGAGTGTGCCATTTTTAAGAGTTTTTATCAATACATCAGTTGCTTTTAATTCCATCCAAATTGAAACTTGTTTTTGACAGAATAAAATCTTTTATATTTTATAGTAACATGCCAATTGATTGTGTAGTTCCGATGGTTTTTCTAACTAGGGTTCTCTTCTCTCAGCGTGCTAACAGAGAGAATCGGTTGTTGTTGTGACAATCACTCGTACATTGCATAGTATGTTCCTGAATATCTAGCCTGAAAAACAAAGAGACTTGGACCAAGAGATCGGCTCGGTTTTCAAGCGTCCGATTGCCTCCGATCAACAGAGTTGTGTTCTTAGAAGATAAGATCGTTTATAGTTTGAAGATCATAAAAATAACATGGAGAGAAAAATAGAATTTAATTTAATGCTGTCAAAAAATTCTGTGAATTCCTCGATATACATTATTTCGATACTGCTCCTCGTGTTGTGCACATTTGTGCAGTGTATACAAGTTTGTAGATTGAAGATCAAGTTGAAAATATTACAAAATTTTAAATATTTGTTTTTTCTTTGTATTACAAAATAAATAAATATACACTTCTTCACTAGATTACTAGTCTAAATCTATACTAATATTAGTTAGCTAGTTACATTGAATAGGATTCAAAACAATAGGACCTATTAAAAAAAATACCTAGTTTAGACATAGCGTTAAATTACGTTGGCGGGGGTTACGGGAAAACAACAAATAATAAAAAAAACATGCAACATATCAAATTTAACTTCCTATGATTTGCCAAAAGCATAAGAATGAATAAAACGTATGCTTTCGATTGGCCGCACGTAACTGATTGTGAATGATTAGTCTCACTTAACAAATCACTGTTGAGTTGATATGGTGTTTAAAGTATTTGTCACTGTGTTGCGTGTTTTTTTTCTCTTATTATAACATATGTTATTTTATAAAAAAAACTAGCTTTTTTACTAAGACTTCGCCCGTTTCAATTATAGTATATGTCAGCCGTTTATGATGTAACTGCCTGCAAGTAAAAGAATTAAAAAAAAATGTGCCAGTAATTTAGTATGTAAAGAAACAATGGTTTGATGATTGCTCTCTGATATAAAATTAAAACTACTTATCTAAACTATTTCTTAAAATAATAACTATATAAATTAAAAATGTCTCCTAGATCATTGCCTACAGGTACCCAGAAGGCTGCGAGCGTTACCTCTTTGAATAGCTAAACTAATTCTTTGGGCAAGGTACAAAAACAATTAAATTTATCTAGAGATAATAGAGAACAACACATACTAGACATCGGGTCTGGTATTCTTCTATCAATTTTATTGTGCTTTATACCACGGCATATCAAACAAATATTTATGAACACGGAAGTAATGTTAAGTTTTTCTTTAATTTCTTCAAAGTGAACGTGTGAACTTATGTCTTCAACTTATTATTATGCCATAAAAATATATGGCTATAGCGTAATAATTAAAAGAGAAAGATACTCGCATCTATCGCCTTTTTGAAATGCAGCCTACTAAACCATACCAATAAAAACGTTACATATTTGAAATAGAAATTAATGAATAATACCATTCAATTTCAATGGAGACTCGCCATTAAATTTTTTACGTAAATACGTTTACTAACATGATGAATGTATACATCCTACTAGTACGAATTAGCATGACACACTCAAGTCTATTTTATTACACCGAAAACGAAATTTCGTCCGTTTTGGGAATGCTATTGCGACTCCAAAGAAAGGCATTTTTCAAATATTTATGATTTATTAGATGTAGTTCCTATCACTGCCTCCATACACGAGTAATCTTCGCGGATATGTGTTAACAAAAGTATAGGAAGAATTCATCTGAATTTTCGTTCGAAGACAAATATAATAGACCTTTAGGTGTCACATCTACCCAGAAAAGTATCATTTATTTCATTTCAATATACTGCTAATTCATATAGGCCATTTTGTGATGAGTCCAGGCACGCCCAGTGTGGATTGATGGGTGTTTATAACTATAAACGGAGATAGACATAAAAGCTTTATGCCTTCCAAATCAAGAAGCTAGATATGATCAATTTTTGGTCACCCATCCTATTAACAACTTTTGCGAAAGTCGCTTAGCATAGACCGAATCATAGACAATCATAGACCGAATTCTTACTTCTATGGCATTGAGATATTGAATCATCTTACAAAAACTAATATAATAAATGTGAAAGTTAGAGAGATGACATGAACTTATATCACTCTTTCACGAAAAAAGTACTGAACGGATTTTGATGAAATTTTGTACGTGGATAATTCTCAGGCTGGATTAACATATAGATTACTTGCTAACCTTTAACACGGTGAGCAAGTAATTTAAATATTATGATATTGTTTAATTATGTCGTTTCTAGATTCCTACTTAATAATAATATGCTAGCGCGTTGAAGTCTTTTGTAGCGAGTTAAGTTATAATTGCATAAAATAGATTCATAAACGTATTTTAATTCGAAACATTTACGTAATGAATGTGTTTTCAATATGTAAGCTGTTTATTTCTAAATTATGTGATAATTAACAATTTATAATAATAAAAACTAACATCTCCCAAGCGGTATTATAGTACTTAACTAAATTATTTCCAAATACATCTTTGTTATCATATCATGAGATATTCTAAAGAAGTAAGTACCTAATATGTATAACATGGTGAATGCATGTGAAAAACTTGTTACCGTTCTCATAATGCAAATCAAAATTCTTTTTTAATAATACAGCATTTATTAAACAAAGAGAGTAGGGATTTTTAAGCGTAAAATATCCTATGGCCTAATTATCTAATTTTGAAACCTGTAGCAAACCCTTCAAAGCTACGGCGATTGCAATAACGATTTATAGAATCATATAATGTTTAAAGTTGCAATCGCTTTTGGAACTAGTGATCATTTGAATGATCAAGAGAAATAATAAACATTTGGTAACGTAAAGTAACATATACGTCTAACGCTTGCCTTAGACAATTGCATTAACGTTAAATTAGAGATTCAATATCTTTGAAGTGACGTCACTATCGCAATTGCTATCACATGTCAAATAGTTGTAACGGCAAATTAGACAATTAGGACACTGGAATAATTTTGTTTTTAAAATAAGTATAATAAGTTAATTTTGCCATTTTTGTTATGCTCCTAATTATGAACTTTCAGATTAGGTATAGTACAAAATATATGTTGGTTTATTTTCAATTTTTTATCCTCTCATGTATATCTGTAGCTTGGTATGTGTTAGTGTAGCGTATGTTATGTGTTTATAATAGAACTTCGATAAGAGACGAAGTTCTTTTTTTGAGATGCTCTACACAATCGTCTGACTCCTATCGAAGACGCTCGAGACATCTTGAAGCGAAGGGCTTTGAGGAATTCGGTTTACAAGAAGACGAGCAATGCCGCGTGGTTGCGGGCGGGCGGCTGCTTAGCGGTCGGCGGGAGGGCGGGCGGCCGGTCGGCTATATGTAAGAGGCGCGCGCGCCGCGGCGAGGTTAGTCGCCGACCGGCAGCGCGTGCACGGCGTCTTACTCCCCGGTGTGTCCCCACCACTCGACCACCTTTCTACCATCACTGGCGATCTCCGCTTGCGCAACGGTTCATAACCGAAAGGTCGTCACTATTGGCATTTAGACGCTCTCTGACATTAGCGTTGCATTTAAATGTGCGATGCAGCTTCCTCGTTGAGCTTCACTGTCGCAACTGGAGTTTGAAAGGCGCGCGTGTTGACGTGATCTCTGTTGCAGCAGCCGAGGAGCCGCCAGGCGCCACACTCTGCCCGCCCGCTCCCGCCGCCATCATGGACGCAAGGATAGCGATGTGAGTAATACAACATATACATACTTAAATACATTATTAGTTTTGAATACAAATCTTAATTCAAGATACTATTCTATATAATTTATAAAATCAAGTTAATTTAAATTTTGCCCAAGTTTTTAAGGGAACAACTAAATCAGCCTTCTCAGCTCATTAAGAATTTAACGATGACTTTCTAATAACTACGATAATTGTGCGTTGCGACCGGATTATGCGGAAGCCTGTCAGCGTATTATCACTACTATTGGATGTTTGCATAGGTGTGAACCAAATTTTTTATTACGCAACTAAATCGGGATGGAGGGCGTCTAAAACACGAAAATTTGATCTGATTTCTCGTGTGGAAATCAGGTTTTCATTGCTCAACGTCAACCGACTGACATCACGAATGGGGGCGAGTGTTTCTCAATGAAGCCTACGAAACGCTGATTTAAAAATATGCACGAGTGCGCGCGCGGGCATATCGTCCCTGGCGCACCAACACCCTCTAACCACTTCCCTGGTTTGTCGCAACGATCTCTGTGGCGACACAACGTAAGCACTAACATCTCATGCTAGTTTTCACGATGAAAACGCAGTTTCAATTTTGCTAGAGCACCGCAAATTTGCGGTGTCATTATTCAATTAAAAAGCGAACTTTCTATGAAGCTCGAGTGAAGACGCACGAAAGCTTAGATATACAACTTAACTTTAACTAAACAAAGTTACTAAACATTCAGGTTGATTTAAATAACTCTATTATAAAACTTGATTATTTAATTAGTCAATTAGCAAAATGGTCTTCAACGTTTTACGTTCCTCGAAGTTTGTAGATTTGTTCATCGATGATTCAGTATATACGATTATGTATTATGAGTAAATTATGAAATCCTTGATCGATTAATACTAATTATGAAGTCATTTGCAATAGTTAATAATCGGTTTCGAAATCGTACATACTAAAATGCTGTTCATAATTTACTTAGGAATTCCTTTGGAATAGTTAAAACAATTGTTTCTTGAATAACTTTTGGTGGTTCACATGGGCTCTACATAATATCGTTATAACGCATCCGTGTAAACAACTAACAAAAATGATCTAACTGTCGCTATTGTCAAAGCTCTCTCCAGATTGCGCCACGACGTGCTAAGTGGATGCACGGAACCACATGTATTACAACACAATAGCATAAAATGATTCCCTCCATTTTGAGTTCTGCATCCTTTAATAATAGAATCTATTGTCGTGTGTCTACATATTTATAGTCACGCCTTTCGAATATTCACCTAATTGTTACCTGAACTTTGATTGTTTAGAGTGTAATGGGACAAAGATTATATAAGTAATATCTGCAGGATGCAGCTTTGACCTGGCATTTAAATTATGTCGCTATAAAACGAGTTTATATCACTTATCGTTGATTTCTTAAAGTTTCAATTAAAAATTTGATTATAATACATCCTGTTTGGACATGTTTAGAAACATTTTCGTCTAAAGGTCTTAAGGTCAAGTCAGGGTTAATTTATGTGCTTATGATGGCCTTAGATTAGAATTGTAATTATTTTTATAATAAAAATGTTTTATATAATACTACAAATGTATTAAACTTTAGATTTGAGTTTGCAAATGACCATTATCTGTTTACTAACCTTCTTGTCAAAGCTTGAAACCTCTGTTCTATCTCCTGAGGGAGCGATTTTTCAAAATTCTTTCAGCGAAACACTATGTTATAAAAACTTTCTAGAGTTTTTAATTCCAGCCCGATCCATCTATTAGTTTTAGCCGTGCATTTAATTCATAAAAATAGTAGTTGTGCAATTTTTGTATGTGACAGAATTAATTACAAATAAACATGTTCTGAACATTAAAAAATATATTAAAATCAGTGTGTGATAAACCAAAAATAATACGTTAATGTAAAGTGGGTCATAAAACAAACAAAAAAAAAATCAAATATCAATACCGATCTTTCATTGTTAAAATGTTATAATTGTCTCTAAATATCTTTCTATTAAATAATTTGATTTTGAATTACTATATCAAGCAACAACCAGTTTCATAGACGTAAAAAGCAACTTTTGTTCATTGTCTTTTTATTATTATTTACGCAATATTAAATGCCACGTAATGCTTATTTAATGATGTAAATTTGTTATAATTTCAAACGGGTCTGTGCAAATAATGGGTATTGTTTGTTTTAGGAAGAACATCATTAATTATTATTATGCGGTTGAAGTGTTTACATAGTTTAATTGTTCACAGATAAGAGATACACTTAATCGGATAACGGATTCATTCGTAGAAAGGCTCTCACTTTTCATTGACAACCAAATACATTACGTTGTACATTTAAATATGTTTGTTGAAAACAAATGATAATGCCTATGACCGGAATACAACTACGTAACATATTCTGTAATTCATTTCACGATGTGCATTTCTCCTTTATATAGATTTTCGATACGTGTTTAAAAAAGAAAGCGCCAGATTGTCTATGCGTTTAAACTTAAAAAAAAAAGAATTCGTCAATGATACTTTATTGAGCACGTTTGTAACAATGCGCGCTTCCTTGCGATTTTATAATAATTGCGTAGTAGCATACAATTACTTAAGCAATTACTGTTTTACAAATTACACATTAACTACAATGAAATTGTTAATAATGACGAATTGTAACTATTACGATGAAATTACACATTTTGGAAATGTTTCTTTTTAATTAAAATAAATAAAAATTTTAATTTGTAGTCTAACTCGATGACTATATATATTATAATAAACTATATATGTCTTAACTTATCGTATCATCCTTGATAAATGTGGAAATATAAAATCTAGCAAAGTGACTATATATCAAATAACTATTGCTACAACACGGTGTGTTTCGTAAAAGTAGTTTTGTGGTCAAACTGGAGAATAACAAGGTAATATTGTCAACATTACCACGCTCGTTTGCTATATATACATAAAAACATATATAGTCTAGTCTTTAAAAATACACTTGATTGTTTTTAATAGTTTAAATGTATAATGTCCATTTAATTTAATGTCACTTTTTAAATATGGTCTCCACGATGATATGAAATTTATAACTTTTAGACAATATATGTCTAATAACTTTATAAACTTGTTTTATAATGAAATAATCTCGGTTGTTTTTACGGTTTCATTTGTTATTAGATTCATAGTTTATTTATGTAATAGTTACTTTATTTAATAGCTTGCAAAAGTTTCGGCTGTTACTGTTCAAATACAGAGTGTTATAAGAAAACTCTGAAGTCTAAAATATTTAGGTGATTGTCTATAATCGTAACGTGAAAAAACGAACTGTTTTAAATACTAGCTGTAAACTTTTATCATTAAATAAAATCATTTTAGTTTCATTTTTATATATTTATGTTAAACTTATTATTTTTATCTATATTTAGTTATAGAAATTTCAACAACTGGATAAAGATAAAAATGTTTTAAGTTAATTTGATTCCTTTTATTATAAGAGATAAATTAACATCCTTATCCGTATTGCTAATGCGGTCGATTTGAATCCATTTTTATAACTTCGATAAATAATTCAAACATTTGATACAACGATAATAATTGTATTTTTCATCGAGTGGTGTATTAAACTATTGTAATAGTATCGCCTACCGAAGTGGAATTCCTTGAGAACGACGTGTTTGCATTTGATCTAGTTCCAGTGAAATAAACTTTATTCTGTGCTCTATTTACTGGATATTATAAACAAAGACATTTAATTAAAATTATGATTTATATGTTTTTATATCTCACAATTTTTAACTTTATGAATTGTAACTTTGAGAGTAAAGAAGACATCAGTAAATGTAGTTCTAGCTACTTTTTAAAGCTATTTCGTTATAAGATATAATTATATATAAAAGGAGTTTTTATAGTTCCAATAATACCTACTGTTATTATAGATATAATTACTCGTATAAAACATTAGTTTTTATTGATATTATAAAACCTTCCTTTATTATTTCAATAATATGCCTTTATCAAATGATTATAATGCTATCAGACCACTAGCAATCTTATTCAATGGGCTGTTTTAAAACTAGATAGTAAAAGATGTAGAGATTGAGATTCTTGTAAATAGTTTGCCGATTTGACGCCCAGCACTCAATCTAAGGATATCCGGCGGGCGGTTTTCTCGGATCCAGGGTCGCGATGCATGCATCCGGTCCGGTGTGGCGGCTTCTCGGCCTAACCGCTTCGGTCACTTCTCTAGGGTTATGCTGAGTTTTATCAGAAAAATTTCTTACCGTTTCCATTGTCAACATAATGCATATTCGAGTTAATAATTCAGAAAAAGGTGGGTTTGTTTTGCTACTTATTTCATGTTTGCTAGAGGTGTGATATTTGAAGAGAAATCAGTTACATTATATATTTAGTTTATGAGAAAATGTTAATGTGTCTCTAATAGAATGTTTAAAATTGCTAGATGATAAATAATTATAAATACCACATCAACCTTCGTTCGGTATTGACTCATTCGGTTGACACAGATAATGAAACAAGATATATTTTTTAGTGAACTTAGATGAATCTGAATGACCTTTGGCCTGCATAAAATCAGAATGTTTCGATATGTTTACTAATTTTTTAACAAATTTGAATTATTGTGTGACATTGCCAATTGAATAACGATAAGAATGCGATGTGTTGACCTCATTAAAGTTTCAAGGCCGCGGGTCCTCTGTCGGCTGTTCCTCCATTCACCATATAATCATTCTGGTAGGCATTCGACAAGGATTTTGATTGCAAGGTGTTTGCGTTTCATTCGCAGCCCTCGTGACGTCAGAACGCGTTGAACAACCTTCACTTTCGCTTTTATGTGTGAAGCTCTAAGCTGCTTCAACACTATTGATGACACGCGGTATGACTCGCTAATTATTTTGTTATAGAAGCTGTTTTATAGATTGGTAGCATGCGTGGTTTTGATATTTTTTTATAGCATAGATGTTATTTTAGAAGAAAACAAATAATAGGCACGCTTAGG